CTTCAACTCCCAGAATTCCCCAGCCAGCATTGCTGGCTGGGGAATTCTGGGAGTTGAAGTCCACACGTCTTCAAGTTGCCTAGGTTGAGAAACACTGAGTTAGACAATCATCAAAAACAACAGCACAGTCTTGAATGGGTTGGTCAAGTGTCATTGCTTGAAGAGAAGGCTGTGGATACTGATCACACATGAACATGGAAAGCAAATGGTTAAATAAAGCAAGTTTACATGCCCAATCCAGATTTTTTTTTTTGGTTGTTATTATCCAAATGCCTAGGGGCTGCCCCTTTCTATGCTCTGTTATAATGTTGATTTTTTTAAAATATTGTACATAAAGAGAAATAAACCTTTCTAACAAGAGAGGCTGGGTATGAATCTTTGTCAAGCAGAACAAGCCTGTTTTCAGAATAAAATCAGAGCAAAGATCAATATAATCCTAGGCCACAGATTGGTTTGTTTGATGGGGGTATGTGAAAAAAGTCAAGAATGTAGCCATAATGTCATTAAAATCCTAATCCTTTTTACACGCATTACATGTCAAACATGTAAAAATGGGCATGGCTTAGACCATGTTGTTCTGGCTGCCATCTTAATTTTCTTTATTCCTCTGCAGATATCCCTGATGTTTGGTTTGGGCTTAGCCCAGCCATTGTAGTTTATAAACCATGGTTTATGATTTGCACATGATGCAAAATTCATTTGATAAACTATGATAAACCCAGGACTTGCTGATCCTTGTCTGTCTATTGGAGATTATAGAGCCAGGGAAAACATTAGATCAATCATTCTGAGAAATCTTTGCTTTGGAAATCGCTTATAGTGATCGCAGATAGTGTGGGGCATCATGCCATGCTGCCAATGCTGATGGTGTTCAGTAATAGCAGGAGAGCCACGTCTGGAATAGGTGGTCACCTGTAAAAATTAAATCTGGCCGCAGGGGTCCATTAGAAGCCATAGTGACATCACATGCATTAGACATTGTGCAAATGACGTAAATGATGTTATCTGCATTGTTTGTGTAACAACTTCATGATGCACATAATCATTCATCACACCCCCACAAATGCCTATGAATCTGGTATACCTAACCCAGTGTTTCTCAACCTTGGCAGCTTTAAGATGTGTGGACTTCAATTCCCAGAATTCCCCAGCCAGCATTGGGGATTGGTTAATGGAGCAATACACCACCATCTTGCCTCTGGTAAGATGCAATCTTTTTATCCAGTTCAGAAGTTTATTTTATTATTATTAATCTCTTTGATTTATATCCTGCTTCTCTGCCCTGGGAACGCACAAGATGACTAATCATTTTGTTTTTTTAGAAAAAGCAGCCATCAAGCTAAAATTGAACAAATCCAGTTAAAATCAACATCTAATTAATTGAAATGGTGGGGGAGATGAAATAGGAAGAAAGAAGCTCTTGGACCCTTCCCCAAAGTTAAAAGTAAACGCTGAGTGTAACTATCAAGGGAACACATTCTGCAATTTAGCTAGTTTGATAAACCTTGAGTGGCCACCAGAGCTGCTCATGTGAAAACATTTTCTTATGAGTAAAGGCCTACTTAGCAGGTGGCAACAGCTGGGTGACCTTGCCTGTGCTTGGAAGCTAAAGAGGGTGGGCTTTGATTAGTCTATGGGTGGAAAAGCAGAGAATATAGGCTGGACTGAGAAAACATGTCCTGGAAGAAGAAAACTGCACAGATGAAGCTGTGAAAGTTACTAGGAGTCAAGATGAAAAAAGATGTTCTACCTTTTTAAAGCCCTGCCTCCAAATAGGAACTCTGAAAAAGCTATTCTGATGGCCTGCAGGTGAATGCCAACTTTATCCCTGGAAGCTAAAAGCTGTCCACCCCAGGTGTCTTGAACTGTGAGGGTATACTAGACACGGTTGTACAAGATAACTGTTCCCTTAGACATTTTGTGCTTCATTCATGTTTGGGGTGTCATTTCTGCTGATCAGGTATGATTTTGACCTATCTACAATAGTTTTCTACAATTCCTTACATTTTCTAGTCAACTATTTAGAGGTTGTATTCAAACTGCAAGCTTATCCTGGTAACTGGATGAACCTGGTTTCTAGCGGCACAATGTGTTGAACTCCAGACTAACTCAATGGATTCCTTTTGCATAGTGTGTGCTAACCATGTTGTATGTACATGGCTTACTGCAGAAGGGACTTCGCATGTTGTATGAATGCATTGGCAACATCTTTACCTGATCTCATTAAGCATGGCATGTGAACAGAACCTTCTAAATAATGTAATGCTATTGAGTGAGTGTATTGATTTCCCCTTGGGAAGAATCTATCCAAGTCTGCAGGGGAGACTGGTGGGTAGGATCAGAGCTGAAAGTGGAAGGAGTCACCCCCCCCTCTTTTTCTCTATTATGCTTGCCTTTTATCTCTTTGTTTCATTCATTGTTCTTCTTTCCCTGATATTGCCTAGTCTTACACAACACCAGTTCAGTATCTACAAGTCCTTTAGATGATCTGCTTGCCTTCTAAAATGCTTGAGGCATCTTTATCTGTCTATTTGCTCAACCTTTATGGCATCTTAGCACGGGCATGATCTGGGTCCATACAGTATGCTAAACCAGAATATGGTTTATTTAATTAATGGGCTAGTATTTTACGTGAATCCAGCCAATTCGGGTTTAAGCAAGAAGCTATAATCAAAGAAACAATAGCTTGGTGGTCCCAGTCAGATGAAACTTGGTCTTTTTTTTTTTTAATTAAAGCTGCAAAGGGATGGGCATTAACAGTACACTGAAGTAATCTTTGATGTCAGATTTCATGCTTTTTAAAATGGCCATGTGCAATAACCTGTTTTCTAGCTGTTTTGTTTCAGGAAAAGATAATATATATTTAAAAGCAAAAATGAACATCTGTACTTGTATTCCTAACTAGCTAGCTCGGTGTTTTTCTACCTTGGCAACTTTAAGGACTTCAACTGGGGAATTCTGGGGGTTGAAGCCCACCCATCTTAAAGTTGCCAAGGTTGAAAAACACTGCGCTAGACCATACCTTTAAAAAGAGTGCTTACGGCAGCCCCAGATTCTGTAAAGACTGCTGTTCTCCTCATTGCTTGTGGTCCAGATGAGCTTTGGGGCCCAGTACTCACTGGAATGTGTGGGTCAGTAGTGTGTTGAACCTGGATGTCTGTGCCTTTAGTTCCAGGCAGGAGGTCAGACTGCAGACTCCCTGAGCAATACACCCATGAGATTTATAATAATTAATAAACAGTCATTAAGGATTCTGCAATCAGAAGAACCCTATATAAAACAAGCAAAATAGAAATAGGATGGGTCTTTGTACATTGACTGGTATAACCATAAAATAGTTAACAATAAAAAAAACTGTTAATAACCTATTGAGAATAATAATTCATCCCTCCCAAATTAATTCACAAGTTGCATTCTTAGTTTAATAGCCATGGCCAAAAATGAGTTGTAACCAAGAGTCACCTTGAAATCACTATCAGACGATAAACATTCTACATATTCAAAATTAGATCTGCTCAGTGTGGGTTTTTTTAATACTGGCCAGATAGTTAAATTGGGCATTCATTGTAATAGCTTACACCCCCCCATCTGAGGTCAAGGTAGCTTCCACCCTGATGGCCTTCCAAAACCTTGTAAAAAAAACTAGTCGTTCTGAAGGGATTGGAGGGCTCCTGGAATGCTGCCAGGAACATTATGAGTCCTAGGTTTCTTAACTGTAATGATGTACAGGTAGTCCTCAGTTAAGGATGGTAACTGGGACCAGAATTCTCATTGCTAAGCAATGCGGTCATAAAGTGCAATGTCACGTGACCATGCCTCTTAGCAACAGCAGTTCCAGCACTGCTGTTGTTAAATGAATCCCGTGATGTCGTTAAGTGCGATGTCACATGATCACCACTTGCGACCTTCCCTGCCGGCTTCCCCATTGACTTTGCTTGTGGGAAGCCAGCAGGGAAGGTCACAAATGGTCATCACGTGACCCTAGGATGCTGCAATGTCGTAATTGTGAGCGGGTTGCCAAGCACCTGAATTGCAATCACTTGACCGTGGGGGATGCTGCAACGGCTGCAACTTTGAGGACTGTCTGTAAGTCTCCTTGTTCAGCACTTTTGTAACTCCAAATGGTCACTGAACAAATGGTCATTAACCAAGGACTACCTGTGTTGTATTTATTTCATTGTATATTGCATTTTATTTTTATTACTGCATTAGCTGAAGCAATTTTACTGCTTAAAGTTGCTTTGATAGGAGGGGAATTAGCTTACTTTTTTCAATCAATCTATAAGAATGGTCTGCCTGAGAATTTATGAGAATTCAGACCTAAAGTTTGCGTTGTACTCTGTACGGTATGCCCACCTCATGCTTAGTAACAAATCTAGTAGCTGCATTCACAAAATATCCTCAAGCTGGTTATTTCCAGCTAAGTTGGGTTTGCGTGTCTGTGCCTTAGTCTGTTGTGGGAACCCAGACAATATGATTAGTTGAATATAAAATATTCAAAATAGGTAAATTCAGTAACTAGGTTAACAGAGCCACAAAAAAAGACAACTTCTCTTTTTAAAGAGTGCCTTTAATCTCTTAAGGATAAGTAAGCATGTTTGCTTTCAATCTGATTTGTTGGTAAAACAAAGCAAAAGAACTAAATCGGTGTTTTTCAAACTTGGCAACTGTAAGATTGCCA